TCGACTTGTCTAGCCATTCGCTTCGCCGATGATAAAAAGGGTATTTATCTTTATAAAAATGTGTAGCGTGCTTAACCCATACATGAAATGTTCGAAATGTTCCTTGAACGGAAGGCGACCTCTAGAAAGTTTAAATGTTTCGAACGAAATTATTATTTTTTTTAATTAATAATCAAAATTTAAAATTAATTGATAATGACTTTAACGAATTAAATTATTCTAATATAGACAAATTCAGAGTAAATTAAAAAAGTTATATTTGCCTAAAAGCATGCAATATTATTGATATTTTACATAATATGTACGTATGCATGTATACCTTTTGTTTGAAATATGAAACCACATTAAAATTAGATTTTTATAAAATAATTTTGCAATTATTTTGCTCAAGTCGTTGTGGTCAAAAATTAAAGTAGTAATATTGCAAAAACAAAAATTATATAACAAATTTCTAAATTGGGATCAATAATTCTGACGTTATGTTTGGCGTCTTTTATGACAAAACTTAGTAAATTAATTTGAAATTCATGTTAGACAGTAATTTGGAAAAATCTTTCCTTTTATAATTTTTTTTTTAAAGATTTAATATTTGAGCCAAAGGAAGTTAAAAGTTATGGTATAACAAAAATCGAAAATTATCAAAAAGAAAAAAATTAAAACGCAAAAAATTTGTAATTGTTTTTATCAAGGTCAAAAATTATTGCTTAACATATACACATACGTAAATATTGTATATGTACATACATATGTGAATGTATGTTCTTATATAAGAAAGTTTGAAATGACCTTTCATCAGTAATTATTTTGTGTTTCCAAGTTAATTAATAACAAAACAAAAAAAATCACTAAGTAGTTATACTTTAATATTGTAAATGAGAACACACACATCTTAATTAACTAACACTCAAATTAAGTGGTTATACAATATACTTACCATAAATGGTATTCACAATCGTATTACATATATTATGTACTTATATAGGTACAAATGTAACTAAATATAACATATAATTATTTGCCGAGTACAATTACTTATACTTACATCATATTCCATCACATTTTTTTTACGTTAAAAGAGTAAGTGCAATGACGTCACGTATAACTTTTTAAAATTTGCAAACAGAGTTTTCGTTTGTGATTTGTGTAAGATTATTTCTTTAGTTTCCTGACCAATTTATAAAAGTACTTAAACATTTTATTAATTTTACTAATACAACATCATAGTTGTGAAATTAATAAGTAATGTACGTATTACACCAATGATTTTAACTTAATGGAAATTTGTTCATGCAACTGCAGAACAGATGGATGACGTAATCAAAGGAACGAGTTAAAGGCAGAAAAATTAATTAAAAAATTTTTCTTCTCGAACTGGACTCGAACCAGTGACCTACCGCTTTCTAGGCGGACGCTCTACCAACTGAGCTACAGAGGCATGAAGAACGATTATTTGATTAAGTCATCCATCTGTTCTGCAGATGCATGAAGAAATTTCCATTAAGTTACTTAAACATTCTCAAATATACAACTTATTGATTTTTCTAATAAATTTATTATGTACATATAAGCAGCAATATTATGTGGTTTAACATATTCTGGGAAGTATTCAAACATTAACATTAACATGAGCGTATTGCAGTATTGAATTGTGATTTGTGTCAATAATTATGCCGGAAATGCAGTTATTCAAAGCATTTCGCAAATACGTAATTCAAATATACTGAAGTTTAAAACCAAATTTCAAAATTTTGTATTATTTTTACAATTCTCAATTTTCCGCATTCATTAAGAACTCTAAAATCTCAATATATTCACTCATTTTATTTTCATTAGAAACAATAAATACTTACCTACCTAAAATAATATTGAATATTAAGTTTCTATTAAAAATTCCTACATTTACACGTTTATTGTTATTATAATTTGAAAAATTAAAGCGATGCTGCAACTTCTAATATAAATCGCAATAAATTTTACTTAAAAAAAATTAAAAATAATAAATTTCTATATAGACTCATAGTATATGACATCATCTAAATTAGCGTCAATGAACATAAATGTGAGATCAGATCAGAGTCGAAAATTATTGTTAAATCATTTAAGCGCAAAAAAAAAAATACTAATAGAAAGTTTATTTGTTTTTTCCTTTATATAACACAAACTAAACATACAGGTTCCGATACTTACGTATAAAAATTTCTTGTTAAAATTTTTTAAATTAAAATTAATTATTTAGAAAGCATGAACCAAATAAAATTACCTACTTAAGTAACTAAAACAAAAAATTAGTGAACTATAAAATATTAAATTACAATAATTGCGGAATAATAAAAATATTTGAATGAATTTTTCATCTTTTTGTTACTAACTTTATGACAGTTAATAATTAACTGATATTAATAAACCGGTTTTAAATCAAATTAGTCATGCATTAATAAAAATAAAAAAAAAATATATTTTTTATAATCACCATGAATTCAATTAAAAGTTTTTCATTATTTTTTGTTAAAATGAGAACTGGTTTAAGATGCGTTAAAAAAGGTTAATATATTTTTTAAGAGAAAAGGTAGTTTTTACAAAAAAAAACAAGGGTTTATTGAATTTATTCATACCTGAATCACAAAATGGATACATAATCATTTTGAATTTGAAATTTGGCATTTGTATAAAACTTACGACATCTAATGGCAAATGGTGCTACATAAGAAAGAAATCAAATTATAGGTAATATTTAAATTATAGGTAAATATCTCAACAAGCTCATTATTAACCTTATAATTCACCTATTAGTGAACGTTGGCGTTTACTAAAGTTTTAAGTGAAATATGAGTAAGTGAAGACTAAAATATATTAAGTATCTTTTTTTAAGTACTCTTTTACAAAATTATGATCTGATAAAGTTTTAAATTTACTATCAATAAATAGTTGACAAATAGGGTAATATGTTGAATTCTGTACTGCTACCAAAAATATGTACATATAGCAGTATGTATTTTTTCATGTTACCAGTTAAGGGTTAATAGATATTGTTTTACCAGAAAACTGAATTAATATGTATTCATTGTTCAGGTACCTATAACGCAGTACGCATCGCGTCTACATATATGTATGTATATGCACATACATAAAATGTATTTATACTTGTGTCCAGATTTTCATAGAGCGATCATTTTAAAAATTTTTGTGATCGCACCCTCAATGTACATTCTTCTCATTGCTATAGGAATGATCATTAAATGTTTCTACTTCTATAGCTATATAATGAGTAAGTACGTAGGTAATTTAGCAATATATGTTCGGTACACATGACCTCATAGCTTACGTAGCTGTACGCGTTCATAACAAACTTTAATTTATTATAAATAAAACGCTCATAAAAACCAATTGAAATTTATTCTTTGTTTTTTAAACTATAAAAAGCTTAGTCCATTTGGATTTTTTTTTTTGCTTCAAATAAGTTTGTATTTTAGAGCTTTTCAAATACTTTTAAAAATTAAACTTTTCATACTTTTATTTATTTACTTCTCTCGATTTAATATTATTATAAATACATAGGTAATATAAACATAAATAAACTTATAAAATTATTTTTGCAAAAACAACGGTAAATTACGATTTAAGTTTGTTGTTGTTGTTGTTTTTTGTGATTGTTGTTTTCATTTCAAATTATGATAGCATATTTTTAAGGACTCCGTGGCGCAACGGTAGCGCGTCTGACTCCAGATCAGAAGGTTGCGTGTTCAAATCACGTCGGGGTCAATGGTCCGTAAATGAAAGGGTTTTTTTTTCTTTTTTAATTTTTTTTACTTCATTATTTGTTAATTAATAATACATTAAGTACTCACCATACGACATTTGCAGAAATAAATCCAGAAATTTATGCCGTAACTCGAAAAAATGTATAACAACAAAAAGTGAGTTAGAGAAACTATTTTATTATATAAAATCTGATTAAGTTGATATTATATCACTTCAATTCGTTTTTTTAAATACTGACTTTCATTTTTAACTAGAAAAAGTTCATTATTGAAGCATGTGCTTTAGACTTGCCTTATAACTAAATTCGGTATAGATTTTTATTTAAAAATCAGTAAAATCTGTCAAAAAAAAATTCAAAAATGCTTAATGTCGTATGAGAGATTAATGTCGCAAGCCGAATAAAAATGGTTCAAATTTATATCATGTGGTAGCTCGAAATGTCGTATTAGAAGGTGTCGTATCTCGAGGTCTTAGATGATTTAGTTCAGTGTATACCATTTATTCAATGAATTTTTAATAACGGTTTCGTCTATTGATAGTTGTAAATTTTTGTAAAACTGAATAATTCAATTCAGGAATATTTCATAAGACCGAATTATTTATAACATCTCCTTGGAATTTGTTCCTTGTTTAAACAAGGAACAAATGTAGAATTGTAGTCAATTAAAAAAAAATAAGTCTGTAAGTATACATATTTATTAAAATATTCTAATCGAATAGCCTTAGTAAAATATTTATTTAAATTATGTATTTTACTTTAATGTGCCTTATATTAAAAATTTTTGAAAATATACTCAAATATTATGCAAATTCCGATAGGAGATTAAGGTAGGAAAATGAGCAAATCAATTTGCAGGGAGACTTGTTAATAAAATATTGGATAATATTCACATACATACATATAAGAAGATTTAATGTACATACATATTATGCATGTAAGCGCTTTCAAAATTAAATTCCTTTGCTTCACACAAATTTGGCATGGTGGTCAACTAATCAACTGCTTTGTTGTAAAAAAAAATAACAATTATTAAATTTTTTGTAAAAATTTCATACATTTCCGAGCTCAACTTAAATTTTTCACTTTTAGGATTATGGTGGCTAAGAGCAAATTTGAATATTTTGTTTTGCTTATTTTAAATATTTTTAATGCTTTTTAATTTAAATTTATAAAATATTTTATAGGTATGTACATATGTATGTATTTAATTTTAACAAAATTTTCTTATTTATATTTCAAGTATTTACATTGTAACATGGAATGTAAGCACAAAATCACCCGATAATATATCATTATCAAATTTATTAGGACTTGGTAATAATCCAGATGCTGATCAACATCATCCAGATTTATATGCAATCGGTTTACAAGAAGTTAATTCAGATCCACAAGCCCAAGTATTAGGCTTATTTAAAGATGATCCATGGACATATAAGTTAAAACAATTATTAAAAGATCGTGATTATGTAGCTGTGAAAACTGAGCAAATGCAGGGTATTTTATTAATATTATTCGCTAAACGTAAACATCTTTTACATATGAGAGATATTGAAGCTGAATTTACAAGAACTGGTTTCGGTGGACTATGGGTATATAAGTTTTTTTTATATCACTTAAAAACTACTAATTCTAAATATAAATAAATAATTTTCAGTAATCTCACGAATTTAAATTGTTTTTGCCGTAAATTAGAGTTCTAAGAAATCTTGTATATACCGAAATTAACATTTAAAATTAGTAATATCAATATGAAAAGGAGACTATTGTTAAATTATTCTGAAATACTTATATAAAATTCTCAGCAATGAGAATTATGCTGTCTTGCTATACTAAGGGCTCTACTATGTAATTCGATTTTCGAGAAACAGTTTTCATATTCTCAAAAATGGAATGCTATAGTGTCTACAAATTGATTGGTACTATCTTACCGTTTTTCCGAACACGAAAATCGAATTACTTAAATAGTACTCGTAAGGCTCAATAATTTGTGACAGGGCATTCTCTCTGCCCTGTCTCATAATATTTTTTCATATAATCTTTATTCAAAGAAATAAGGTTTTTAACTGAAATGAAAATTTCGATTGATTCAAATAACAATCATAATTAGTAAAATAAGTAACTTCACATTAATTACTAAAGTCAATTTTATTTTATTTCTTTAAAGGGAAATAAAGGCGGTGTTAGTATAAGACTTACATTATATGGCTGTGGTGTAGCATTTGTAAATTCACATTTGGCTGCACATGATCATGAATTAGATGAAAGGGTCAATGATTATAAGCAAATATTAGATAATCATCATTACCATGTTAAACGATATCGTGAAATTTACGATCATGAGTAAGTTTTATATTTTGAGATCATAAATAGAGACCATATACATACTAAAATTAAATGAAAAAATTTTCTTATATGACGATTTTTTCTTTCTGTTTTAGCTATGTCTTCTGGTTTGGGGATCTTAATTTTAGACTTCACTACGAGGATAATACAACACCAGAACAAGTTCGAAGTATGATTGAACATGATCGTTTAAAAGAATTATTACAAAAGGATCAATTAAATTTAGTACGTGATACTGGAAAAGCATTTTATCAGTTACAAGAAAGAGAACCATCATTTCCACCCACATTTAAATTTGAACAAGGAACATCAAATTATAATTTAAAGTAAAACTTATATTTTTCAATATTATTTTGATAATTTTAAATTTTTCATTTTAAAAACTACATTTATAATTTTAGGAGGCGTCCAGCATGGACAGATAGAATTTTATGGCGAGTACAAAATGATAGTTATACAACTGTTTTATTAGAAGTTGAACAAAAATCATATAAAAGTCATCCAGGATACAATATTAGTGATCACAAACCTGTTACTAGCGAATTTAATATTAAGGTAGCTTATTTGAAAAGTCCATTTAAGGAAATATGGGAAAAGGTTAGCTTACTGTGTGTTGCTTTTATTGAAAAAAAAGAAAATTTGTTTTTGGTGTTTCATTTCAACGTTATTAAAATAGCCTAATGTTCTAAAAATTTTTACGATCAAAAAAACTTCATATATGTATATATGAGTGTATTTGTGTTTTGATGTTCTATATGTATTTTGTTTTATATAAACTTATTATAAGGATTAGGAAAATAATTATTATTGAATATTCTTCATATTAGAAATTTACTTATTTACTGTTCCAATAATTAAAAACTGAATCCTACATTCCACCGTGCAATAATGTGTATTTTAAATCTAATTCAGAAATTAATGTTTAAACTAAATTTGCCTAATTGGATTATTAAATAGAATGGAATGAAAATATTGGATTGCTGAATTATTGAACCAAAGATATTGCTTAGATAATCGTAGTTTATTTGCCATCGCTTCATGCGCAGTTTACTATAATTCATATTTAATGTCTATTTGATGTAGCATATTTTTAACTGTTGAACAAAATAGATTGCAGTTTCATTTGCATTTAAGTAAATGCCAATAATTAATTTTCAAAACTTTTTGAATGCAATTTTGGGTAAAAATTATTAAACTCCCATATACTCCTAGCTATCAAAATACTAACTGTAATCAAACCCTAATATCCTAGTTAAAAATAAGTCTAGATTTAAAATATTTGCATTTCACAAATTCAACAATTTAATACTTTTAGGAGAAAACATCGGTAATTCGACAAATTATATAAAAATATATAAAAAGCATAATCAAACTGTCTATATTGTGTACCTATCATTTTACCTACATTAAAAATTTTTCCAATTTAGCTAAAAAATTTATTGTTTTTGCAGTGTACTATATTTTTTATTATTTTTGGTGAAATTTTTTATCCATACAAACTTAAAAATATTTACTTCAAAACTAAATTTTTTTTATTATTATTTAATATTTATGTATTTATTATCAACTGGGCTGTAATGCATCGAATAATTGACTGAACTATATAAAAAATTTAAATGAAACACTTAAAATAAAAAAAATTCTCTTCGTACAAAAAAAACAAAAAGCTACCAAAATTCAGTAGACAGGCAGAATTAGCTAATCTTCTTTCTCTATTTTCTGATCATGTTGATTCTGGTTCAGTTGATGGACATAATGCAGGATCATCACCAAATATTACAACAACAAATTCAGATTATTTTAATTCGCAGGTATTTGAAAGTCCAGTCGAATATACAATTGAATTCGCAAACATTCCGATTTGGCAAGTTGGTGATGAAAATAAAATTGTTTATACAGTACCAGAAGGATTTACTGAAGAAAGTGGTGATTGGATTGGAATTTATTTAGAAAATTTTGCTAGCTTAAGTGAATATATTGCTTATGAATATACAAATCAAGCTGGTACTAAAAAAACTGTTGAAAATCATCCAAATCGAAAGGAGATACGTATTGAATTTGGTGAAAATATTGATTTAGATGAAGGTAGAACATATGTGTTAGTGTATTTTTCAAATACCGGTATACGTGGTGTATCAAGTATAGCTGGTATTAGTAATGCATTTAGAGCAGAAAAGAGGCCAGCATCACCAAGATTTGAACAAGTTGATTAAATATACCATTAATATTTAAAATTTGTCACAAAACTATTTTTGTGTATGTGATAAGATATTTTGGTTTTTTAACCAAAAAAAATATTCAATAGACAAAAATTTTAATATTTTTTTTTTATATATGTAAATATTGTGGTATATATTGTAAACAATATTATATATTATACAAAATTATAATAATATACTTAAGTATATAAAACAATTTTTGAGAGATACAATTAGAAAATATTAAAAAAAAATTCAATTAAAGAATGTACACGCTTTATTAGATTTAAATTATAAAATCGATTCAAATATACATACAATACATATTTATTGATCGATTTTTAGAACAAAATATTCTTGTAGACTAAAAATTATTCCTGACAGCTTGCGCTTTTATTAATTGATAATTTTTAGAACTTTTTTTTTTTAATTTTGTGTTTTTTTTTAAATTTTAGAGAAAGTTTTGTTTTTCTTTTCAACTTTATAAAATGTTAAAAACTTTTTGTTTGTTTATTTTTCAAAATTTTTGTTAAAGAAAATTGAAAAACATTATTACATACTATACAATTTTTATATTGCTAATTCATAAATAAAATATCGATATACAATAGATTATAAAATAATATGTAATTATATTATATTCAAATTACAAAAAATAATTGTTAAAATTAGCGAAAATAATAGAAAAGAATTATTGAAATAAATTAAAAATAAAATATTAAGCAGAATTGTATTGCAAGTTATGGAAAATTTTATTTACTCTCTTGTACTTTTATTTTTAGTAGCTTTAACATAATAATTTTGTCTGGATTATAACTAATCAAGTAAAATTTAAGATACGGTAGGTTTTATTTTTATTCTCCAAATAAAAATCCGAAATTTTATTAAATATTTTAATAGCTGTTATTAACATTATGGTGTTCATTTTAGACGATATTCATACTAGAAGAGTTGGAGTTTTGAGTTTTATAATTAAACTAATGTTGATATTTAGATTCTACTTATATTAGGCAGAGTATCTTTAGAATTGCATCTTCGACGTATCAGATACATTGTTGGCCATATTCTGCATTCCACTTTTTGTGAAATGAAATGGTGAAAGTGATATTTGGTGTTGTAAAATTCACAAGTAAAATACTAATGAATTGAAATTTCAAAAGTGAAATATACGCGTTCTGCATTTCATTTTAAGTTTCATTTCACTAAATATCATTGATTTCAATTCACTGTTGTTTTGCTTAGTGGATTGCTGTTTTTTTTTTTCACTTACAATACAATTTGTAGTGGAATTCAGAGCACGGCCATTTATCATCTTCTGAAATCTGAACAAAAAAATTCGACGATGTTCTATGTTCGGAATTTATTAGATGTTGTGTCCTTTAGATACTAAAATATCAGTCAAATTGTGTAACGAAAAATTTTTGGATATTTTGAAAAATGAAAAAAAATCTATGTGAGTAACTAATTTTTGGTTGAATAACTCAAATCAAAATAAAATATTTAAAGAACAAAAACATACTAGAAGGTAGTGATACATGTATCAAAATTCCTAAATACCAAAAATTCAAATAATGCAATATCTTTAAAGAAATAAAACGATACAACGTATCAAAAACTAAACTGATATTTCATTTTATGTGATTTTAACAAAATCGTACAATTTTTATTTGATGATTCCGAAGATATCCACAATATTCATAATTATAATTTTGTATATAAATTTTTATGTATATCAAATGGAATATTTATAGGACCAGGTATTTATTTTATTCCAATCGGTTACTTAAACTCGTTTTTTCTTTCCCCTTTGTTTTCATAATTAATTTCAATTTACAATATGCCAAAAAAGTATCATTGAAAACAATAAACAAAGAATAACTGCCCCCTTAAATTTGTTAAGTTCATTCCATTTTTATAAAACAGAAGTATGTACAATACATAATATTTACAATTTTCAAAATAGCAGTCTTAAAAAAATTAAAATATTTTGTTTTACAAAATATGAATTGTTTTATTATATAACAATTAAAAGCACTAATTTTGAAAAGGTTAATCTTTTAAAATGTATACATTCAAATTTTTAAAATTTTACTATTGTTTATATTGATTTTTTATTAATAATAATATTAGCAACAAATATTAAATTATTTAAAAAATTAAAAATAACTATTTATATCTTAAAATGCATGTTAAAAAACTTAATTTTTCTAAAGCGTTTTCATTTCTTATTTAAAATATATTATATAATTTTTATTACTTAAAATAAATAATTTAAAATACTTGTTTATAATACCTACATTGTGCTTTCGTAATTTAAAATTTTAATATGTATAAAAAAATTTGTTTTTGTTTTTCTAGACTGATTAAAAAATTTTTCGACAAATTGTTAATTTTTGACAGTCTTTTTGTCATTATAGTCATATTATTATAATATTTTTAACTAATTTCTATTTTCATTTTGTTTTACTATTCCTTAATAATTTAATAGCTGTGGTTATAAATACTTAATCCTTACTTATATTTTAATAATTCTCATAAAGCATAAATTTTTCTTTTCATAATATATTTTAGTATTTAAACTGTAATATTTTACTAAAATAGAAATTTAATGTTTTATTTTTATACTCCATTTTCTGCTTCCTTTGGTTCTCTTGTTGGCACCGGTGTTATTTCATGTGATCCTCTATCATGCCACCATCTTATTATTACAGATCTTCGTTTTCTACCAACAATAAATATCATTAATATGAAAAATCCTTGTAAACCATTCATAATTTCCATAAATGCCATATAATCATCACTACCGGGTGCATAAAATGTTATAACTTCAAGAATCCATGTTATTGATATAATTCCTAACAGTATTGATATGCAGGTTGCACTAAAAATAAAATAATTATTAAAGCATGTTATCAAATTATTTCCTTGGAATGAAATTTATTAAATTTCATTCCAATTAATATTATAGAATTTCTTTTAAACGGATAATAAATAATTCCATAATTAAAATTTAAACTAAATTAATATTTATAAAAATTTTATTGGTTTATCATACTCTTGTTTTGTTTCTTCTAAGAAATGTTCATCCATTACTGGTAGCATATCTCCATCACATCGTCCATTTGTTATTGATCTATATTCAATTTTACCACGTAATAATAAAATTTTATCACAATTTCGAAAACCAAAATAACTTATTACTAATAAACAAAATGTTGAAAATATGCAAGCAGATACTGGTGGTATGAAATATCTTTGGGATTCTTGTACAGCTAAAAATTAATAATGATATTATAATTATTTTAATTTAACGATATTAGAATATGAATTTCGTGTATAAAATTTCATTATACATACATTCACTCCATGCTTGATAAAAATATGATGGCATTCCTGGAAGTCTTTTACTATATGTAATCAAAACGAAAAATAATGGAATAAAACTAGCTATACATGCGTAAATTCCCAATCGACAATATCTTATTGTTCTGGTAATAGTAATGTAGCGTGGTAAGAAATACCTGAAAAAAATGTTAAAAAATACGCTTAATTTAAATAGTTTTTACAAAAAATAATTTACAAATAATTTCTGTTATTTATAATTTTTCTGAATAATATTAAATTTTAATTGAACAACCAAAAATAATTACTCATATATAAGTAGTTCTACATATAGTATATGCAACATGAATGATTGTTGACTTAACCATTATTAAAGTATTATAAAATAACTATACTTAAGTTTTCAAATTTAAAGAACCACGCTTTTTTAAAAAGCAAACGATAAAGAACATAAGTGGCATTTTTCGTATAACTGTGCGCTCTTAATAAATAATTGATAAAGTATTTTGAAAATCATAGCTCATTAGTTTGTAATAAATATGTATGGTTGTACGAGGCTTTTACCAAATCAAATTTTATATACTAATATAATGCCATTCCATATATAAGTTTATATTTTACCCCCTCTTATCGTTTTTACATATTTATTTTAATCTTATCAATAATCATAAAATTTCCAATGTTTTATTCACCATATTTTTTTTAGAACTTTATTATAAAAAATAAAATAATATTTTAAAAATTTTGCTTTTATTGCATGTTTAAATAATTATTGGCACTCCTATTAAAATTCTTTAAAAAAATGATAAAATAAACATTTTCGTTTATAAATTAATAAATTTTATGGAAATTTTTCTAATTTTTTTTTTTTTTTGCAAAAATTTACTGATATTATGTACTTATATATATTTAAATAGATATATTTATTGTATATGTAGATATTTTTTGCATTAGGAAGGTGCAAGAGCAAACATTTTTTGAATTATGTGCCGACTTTCAAGCAGAACTTGAACATTGAATCAATTAAATGATATGAATGAATGTTTTCTTCCATTTTAAATATTTAATTTCGAATTTAAATAATTGCGTTTACTTATCTATTAAACTAAGAATGACTCATAATTAATTATAAATTTTAAAATTTGTTTTTCTTGTTGTTAATTATAAAAAGTTTGGTTAAAAAATGAAATTTTACTTACCATACTGTTACAACAATATTTAATGCTAACATTGTCAACCAAAAGAAATAAGCTAATAAGAAAAATTGTACAAAATAACCAATTCTGCCACGATCTCCATGTATTAATTGAGCATATATATATAAACTAAATCCAATTGCTAAACATAATGACATACAACCCAATGATAATCCATGTACTGTTCTTAATTCACGTATTGCAAAATGTATATATGCAACAAATATTAAACATATTACTGATACAAACATAAATACTGCAAATAATATTGTTTGTGCTTCACTAATATGTGCACCAATTGGTGTTACACATACAATTGCCAATAATTCACCAGATTGATAATCAACATCTAAACAATAATCATCAAATATATCGAATGATTGATTACCATATTCATCCATAATAAGTAAACTTCCATTTTGCATAACATATATTCGATCACCATAATCTCTCGTATATATAAATGAGCTAGGATAAATAGAAATACTATTATAATTATAATAATAATGATAGAGTAATATATATATAAGTATATATAGAAAAGAATACAATATTTATGATTCAATTTTGTTATAAAAGTCTCAATCGAGATCGTTATGAACGAATTTGATAAATAATTGTAACCAGATTATTATTTATTTTATACTAAGGAAGAAAATTTACTTTTAACCTGGCCAACAAAAAACTGCTGCCAAATGTAAAAATTTTACATTTCCTACTGAATTAAATGATTCAGCTATATGTACATTATACAAATCCAAAAAAAGGAGGTTGATACTTACACATTACATGGATTTCCAACTTCAACTTCTAATTCATAATGTTCTTCTAAATCTTCAATACAATTTTCATAGAGAGCTGCTGTTATTAGTTTTGGTACAAATGTTTTATTTTCATAATCACATTTACGACCACCTGGACCATCATATGGATGTAAACTTTCGCCCATTGGACAACATTTTTTTAATAATGAATTTATTGTATTTATTGGTTGATTTGGTAATTTTTCACGTTTCATTTCCGAACATGATTTTGGTTTTGTTGAATAGATTTCATCCTCATTTTCATCATCAGTTGTATTACCATTTGGTTTCGATGATATAACAATTTTTTTCGTTACATTCTCATCTAAATTATCAAAATTTTTGGCAGCAAAATTTGATTCTTCCACAGGAAGAGTATTATTATCTATTGTTGTTACTAATAATAAGTCATTTGGTATTATTGTTGTTGCTTTTAATTTGGTTTCACTAATATTATTAAAAACTACTGGATTTTTATTATTATCTATTAAATCTTCACATTTATATAAATTAATATTAAAATTTATTAAAACTATTATTAAAATTGAGGTAAATTTTGAGTTTAAACGATTGCAACCCATTTTGTTTTCTTCTTTATTTTAATTTTTTCTTATACATCAAATTTCTATAATTCAATTTAAATTTAAAATTTACTTATTTCGTTTGTTGTTTATTCTATTGTAAATTTTCAGATTCGTATTTCAAAACCATTCACAATAGTCACAATCTATTTTTTTCTTACTCCAAAAAATAAATGTAGGTGTCGCAAATGAATTATTTTTAATTTTTATTTGACAATTTTTTAACAATTTTATTTCTTTGCTTGTTTTAATTTAATTTAATTCTTTCTATAAAAAATTGAAACTCAATTGAGAAAAATTATTAATATAACTACAAAATGTAAATGTCCACTTGTATTTAATCGCATTAATTTTAATTATTAAAAGCTATTATGACATTATTTTCATATCTATGCCGGTCACTTTTCGCAAATATTTACTTTACATTCAATGGAATTTTTGTTTTTATTTCGTTTTATTAAATTATTTACAGGTGACATAATATTTGAACAAAAATTTATTACGTTTTTTTCCAATATACTAAATTTGTACAAAATTCAAATGATTAAATAGTGTTGGCAATTATGCGATGAACTGTCAATCATCTAATAATTTTTATACACGTTATTTTTATTTTAAACATTATTTATAGCTGTTGTCACAATTTTTTTTTTGATCAAATTAAAAGGCCAAAATTATCGATGATGAAAAAACGATCTGCAATAGAAGAAAATCGACGATTAACTAAAATAATAAATTTTAATTCTAATTCATTAAGGTGAAAATAAAACAGTTTTTATTTTCAGGGTTTGTCGTATATATAAGAAATTAAAAAAAAAAAATCAATAGTAATCATATACATGCATTGATAAGATAGCAACAATTTTTTCTTATCGTAATGTTTGACGATATGCTTTTGTATTTTTGTGTTTTTACTATAATTTTGTTTTTCTCTTCGAATACACCAAATACACCTTAAAACATAAAATATTATGGCAAAAAAAATATGTGTGTTTATGATATGTACCTACATAGGTAAAAACAAAAATTGCTCATAATTAGTTAACAGTAATTTCCGGTTAAATGTTCTACAATATAATTATTGTATGTACTTAATTAGCAATTCTTTTACAAAATAATTTAATGTACACATTTGCTCAGTTACATATGTATGTACATTTATGTTATAATACGTATGTTGAGGTAGGTGGGTATGCACTTCGTAAAAGCTCGTCACTAAAAATTGACGCTATAAAATGTGAATAGCATAAGACTCACATCTTATTTCAACTTGTTTTTAATATACTGTAAGAATACTGGGGCCAAAGTCGAAGAATCCTGATAAAGATGCATTTTCTTTAATTGTTTTTCTTAAAACTAAAACACAATATTTTCCGTTTACCATTAACTAGGTATAGCGCCTTTTTTATTTATCTTGCGTATTAATTAATATTTAGCGATTATTAAAAAAAATTAAAAATAGGTTTACGATAAACGCAATAGATCCGTATATGTTGGTCGCGAAGTTTCACAAGTAAGTACTTAAAATGAAGTTGAAGTTACAGAATGTTTGACAGTACTCAAGTTACATTTATATATGAGTTGGACTGTTTCAAATTTCATTTATAATTTTTTTGATATATTTTTAATAATTAGTCATAAAAATGTTTTTATTAATCCAAAAAGTAAATAAATATTTTTTTTATATATAACAATAAGTATAATATTTATATATGTATATAAGTATGTATGTATATTTATTGTTTTCTGCTTGAGTCCAGATCGATAATAATAATTTATTATCGATATGATTATAATTTTTGTCGGTTTAGAGGAGTAGCATATAGAATAAAATGTAATTCATAAATAATAGTAGCGGAAACGAAAATTAAAATAAGTGCAAATAAAATAAATAAAAAAAATCTATGATTAATAAAAATTAATTTTAATTAAATTCCTTTTGAAATGATTTGTCATAAAATTTTCCTAGGAATCTAGTAATATTGTTAAATTTTTTTAAATTTTTTGTAATACATACGAGTATAATGATGGCTACAATATTACGTAAAAGAGTTGAATGTACGTATACAACATGTGTATTTAATTCACAAATAAGATAAGAGATATTTTATACAATAAAATATAATTATAATTTAATTATGAATTCATAGTCTAGACGTAGTTTTTTTTCTAAAGCTTGTAATATGGACGTATTACTGTATAGAGGGAGTATTGAAACTTATTAAATGAAGTTATTCTAAATTTTATGTTTGAGTTACATTATCATTATCATATAAATTGAATAATTAAATTTTTTTTTAATCAACAATCAACAATTTTTATTCAAAAGTGAATTATTCTTGTTAAAAATTTTCTTAAGTCAACTAAGTAAGTATATATGATTTTTTCTAGAGAATTCTTTATACAAAATTAATTTATTTGCTAGTAGTGATAGCATGAGTATACAACTTATACGATCAGTAGCAAATTTTTACTACATAAATTTTTTCCGAAATGTCAATGCCGTATTTACACAACTTTAAATTAAATGTGCTCGAAATTAAAATGCATTTTATAAACAAACTTCATTTATTTTAATCAGTTTGGGAAAATCTTAGCCAACTGAAAACAAAAATTCATGTTTTTATTTTATTATTTAATAAAAAATAATTTAATTTATGACACTTCTTCAATGGCAGTCAAGTGTGGTAAAATTATGAAACATATTTAAACAGCAGTAAATAATGTTAACGAATATTTCATCAGGGAATCTCCCATACAGCTGTCCCATTTTCTATCATATTGCAATGTACTTACAAACATAGAAACAAAATATATAATCAAATATTAATAATGAGGTGAACATTTTTAGCGTTCATAATTTAGTCACTTTTATTCTATTTTAAAGTGCATTTTAAACTAAATTTAAAATTATGACTAGATGCACTTGTATTTTTACAAGAATAATTCAATGTAAATAAAAAAAATAATTAAATTTGTTTATTTTAGCAAAAAATTTTTTATTTCTCTTTATTATACATACATGCATACATTAATGTACATATGTACGTATATTTTTTTTTAATCCCCACAATAATAAATTGACGGATATAAAAATGAAAATAATATTGTGAATGGTTTTTGAAAGAAAAATACCGGATAGTTTCATTTTTAATACGAATTATGAATAAAAATTTTACTTAACAACAATTTATTGAAAATTCAATTATTAATATTATAATAGTTGAAATATTTACTTAATAAATCTAAAATTATAAAAATATTTATTTTTCAAGAAATTTCATTAAACGAAAAGTATGAGTAATAGAATAAAAAAGTAGCAATGTCGAGTTATAAATATTGTAATATTCGTTTGACATTATTAAAGGATATTGGAATAAAAAAAATTGCAAAATTGGTAGAATGATTCGATTACCCATAAAAGCGAATAATTGACGATCGCTCACCTGTTATAGCAGTAAGTTTATTTGAATTTCAATTAAGCTCAAATATTGAAATTGAAATGTTTTGATCATTGATTACAGAAGGATTTATAGAACATTGGCGATTTTGAATAAATAATACCCACATGCACGGATGTAGAAAATACTGAAGTTATCTTCGTTCTTAAATCGTAAACGCTAGATTGATTTTTAGAACAAATACCTATCAGCGTTCTCTATAAAATTCAAATAGGTTGGTTATTGTCACTAAGTGAGATCAAAACAAGAAATCAACAAATCAATAAAGTCATTCACACTCAAAATATGTTCAAGATCATAAATAACAAAATAATAGTTATTTTTGCAAATAATTTAATGTTGTGGTTTATGTATTCCTGAAATTTATTAGGTAAGTATGATTTTGTGGTATAATTTTAATATGTACAATGAATTTTAGTAAAAAAAATTTTCGCTGTAGACAACAATCGAAAATTTAATGTCATTTGTCATACAACTCTTACAGTATATGTGTACATATGCATATCAAATACTATAGTTTAATGGAAACCTACTTTTAGTTCACACCCTCTCATTAGCAAAAAACAAAAAGTAAACAAAAAATAACATTGAATCACACTAATACCACCTGATTATTGTGGTCGATATTAATTAAGAAAAAATATTATTTGAATCTTATTAAGTTTCCTTATATGAAGTTGTCATAATAATTTTATGTTGCTTGATTTTAATATCTTATAGCTACTTTTAATTTATATAGAATTATAAAATCATCAATATCACACCTTTGATAAAAATTTGATACTGAACATGAAGGTTATTTTAGATAATTCAAGAAAACATTAATTACATGTAAGTTAATTATTACCTACATATATCGAGTTTATAAACATATAGATTCTATTATATTTAAAAGAATAATGCAAATAAGTAGTACTGAAATACTACCGGGAGACTTTCTTGATCTTTAGATGTTAAATGTACTTACTATACACGATATAACAATATTATAGGTTTTTGTGAAATATATAAGTTTATTTGTATTACCATTAAGTACGTTATAGATAATAATACCTTAGATTTATGTATATTATTTTGTTTTTTAAGATAAAATAAAATCATACTTAAATAGTATTAAAGACCTTCTGAAATATTAGTACGTATTCTTATCAATATTTTTGAAATGATAAGTTAAAAGATGGCGTTAAAATTAAAATACCTATAAGTAGATTAGTAAATTAATTTTGATAAGAGTGATTCGTACAGTAACGTATTAAGAGTTCTAAAAATTCTAAGCAAAAATTTTTTTACATATGAGTAATTCACTTATATTATATATTAAGTATAAATTTAATAGAAGCGGTAATACTTATGAAAATTAAAATTTATGTTCAAACACCATTGAGTATACAGCATCAAATTTGATTCAATAGTTTCCAAAAATGGTGTAAATAAATACTCGTACTAGTAATAATATTTAAGTAAACAAAAATTTCAAAAAAATTAAATGAAAAATTTAAAAGTAAAATTTCAGATATTTTAAGAAAAGTTTTTAACTCTACTTAAATATTTTTGAATTTCAAAATTAGTAGATTTTCAAATCCAATTGAAAAATTTAAGGTTTAATCCGATGGATCGATTTAAATTTGAGAGCCGTTTATTACTGCTTTATTAAACTAATGAAATTTTATACGAATACTTTTATTAAAAAAAAATAATTAAGTAATAGGTTGATGAATTTTTCAGAACATCTGGAAAAAAGTATACGTACAAATTCGAAATTAAGTACTTAGACTGTATAACTCCGCTTTACTTAATTCCGGATACTGATAAGTCTACAATAGTCCATATAAGTAACCAACTCAGAAATCAAGTAATTATAT